TATTCGCTCTTGGCATACAAGTAGATTAGAAGTATCCAGTCCATGGCAGTGATGATTAAAAGATCTTCTCAATCTGTAGAATCACATCAACATGAAAACATCCTCCCTTGACAAGGCAGCAATGAACAAAAGCATTTTGATGATGGCAAGATATCAGTAAAGATAGAGAGAGAGCGAGGGCAGCTTTGGAACGATGCACGTTTTGGGTGCTGAGTGAGTCACCACCGCCTGGCTATGCTGCAGTTTAAGCGGCACCGTCCCCACGCCGCGTCTACGTGAAGTGAGCAGCAGCGTGTGAGAAGCCACGCGCTCGCACCGTGCTGGCTCTCACCGCTTCCGATGGCCACGGGCAGAGTCACCAGGACACCGACGCGCCCCAGGTCCAGCACAATGCGCCTTTGCGAATTCAAAACAGCATTTCCAGGAAACAGTAAGGGGAGTAAGCGATGAAATAACAGTAAAACAAAGTTTTATTGTTGGCAGTAAAAGATGGCAGCTTAATTCTCTGTATACCCACACATGCAATCACGCTATTAAAATGAATTAACTACTCTGAATAAGCATTAGGAAAATATATCTCGTTTTTCAACAGTGCATTCAGCCTGCTTCAATTTAAATGGGGCAGAAGCTCTTAGCATCTGGTCTGTGACCCCCGGAGCTCCCCCAAAGCTGTCTTGCAGCTAACTCCGCTCTCATTTTCTTCCCCTGGCATTCTGCTGAAGTGCATTTGCTCATCCTGCAACACAAACCCAGGCAACTTGGATAAAACCGCGTAGCCCGTTCTGGCAAACCCATGGGAACAAGCACGAAAGGCCGGGAACACTGCTAAGGAAGCCCACTGGCAAGCGGGTAAAGGCAGGGGTCGCGGCTGTGCCAAAGAGCTCACCCAGCCAAGGCTGCGATATCCCACTCGAGCAGCGTTTGCCTTCAGTGCGAGGTCCTGGGAATAAGAGGTGGCTGCAAACAGAACCGGCAACGGGCCAGAAAGCATCAAAAAGATAAGGGAATAGCCAAACGCCCCAGCTATTCCGGTGGGTTACCTGGGGCACAGTAACTCCAAACTATTTCCCATAAATACAGCAGAATTCGGTCAAGCGTCGCTCAGAAAAAGGAAGTTTTCCAGCTGCAGAGTGCGGGTGGCCGGAGCACACCCGGAGCGGCTCACTGTAGGCAAAGCCCTGCTCCCCACCACAACCCCCTCGAACTTCTGCTCCGGGACCTTTCGGAAGCTGTTTGAGGCCTTATGGCACCAAGAGCGGCTGCAGCCAAACCAAAACATCTGCTGGCCTTCCTGGCTACTGGAGCTGCTCATAACCGAGATCGGACCGTCCTGCAAGTACAAACGTAGCCGAGCAGCTGAGGCTGATCTTGATGTAGAGGCTAAGCAGCACCTGGACTTCAAAAGCAATGAGAGTTACGAAAGTAACACCTTCGAAAACAGAAACATGGGATGGGGCAAAAATCCACCTTGCTCAGGAACTAGCAGCGGCAGGGTCTTCGCAGTTTAATTTGAACTTTCTTTCCCGTTTAGACCGGAGCAAGACCTCCTGAAAATGGATGAGCTGAATTTAGGCTGGACACTGGGGACGACTCGCCCAACATCTGCACTGGCCTGGAAGGAACAGCCAAACCCAGAAGGCGTGCGAACATTTGGGACACTTCTCTCTTGGAGAGCTGGAAGTTGCCGTTCTGTCAATGCCGAATAGCTCCCAAAACGTAGAGCAGGCTGCAGAAAGCAGACACGTGCACAAGAGACTGACCTGAACCTGCCCCTGCTTGTACTCAACATGCAAACTCCTTCAACGTTACAAGGAACACAAGGGAGAGATACAAAGACGGATGAGAAACTAATACTGACGTCTCCCTTAAAATTCCCGACTCGTTCCGTACAATACAGACAAGGATTTCATTGTAACCGCTTCCTGCCTTTCAGCAAAATTAAAAAAAAAATTTATTCAACAGCTCTGCCACTCACCGGCCTGAAAGAGCGGGCTCATGCTTGCTACCACCAGCCCGACTGCGTGAAGCCTGGTTTCCTCAGCTCTAATGAGCTTTGCGTAAAACACCTGCCTTTCCTTCCATCCATCCCAAACTACTCCTTCCCTCTCCCGGTCTCCGTTCCCCATCAGTAACAGCGGTCCTGGATTTTCTTTTCCTGTTGAGTTCTGCTTTATCCAATTCCATCTCAAGCTCCTCATTTCTTGTACCTTCTTGGTGGCTTCGAAATAGCCCCGTGTTTCCGTGTTCAGAAGTGACCTGCTCAACACGACCTTAACCCTGCACTGACAAGCGAGCGCTGGGCTGTGTCTGCAAGGCGCAAGCATCAATGATTTCAGGTGAAGTCACTGGGCAAGAAGAATTTTCAAGAGGCAGCTTAACAAAACAAACCGTCCTCCATTTGAACATCGGAGCCCAGCCAGAAGAAGATTGGCCTGTAAAATCATTTTCAAATGAAAAGTCATTTTCGAAAAGAATTCTTGACAAGATTCAGATCAACTGCGGCTTTCCAGCTCAGTCAGACCCTGAGAACCAAATTCTGTTCTCATTTACATCAGAGCAAAGCTCAAAGCCTGATGAAATATTTGATGTTCACCCTGATGTAAATGAGAGCAGAATTTGGTCCGAAATAGCCTGTTTTCCCTACTGACTTTATTACAGGGTGAGTGTTAGGCAGGAGTTCAGGTTTCTTTTGAAGTTATTTTATGGCAAGGAGATAGAGTGGCAGAGATCTAGTTCGATGAGTCTAATCTGCCCTAAATATGCACACAGTGCCTGATGAAAGAACCACAGAGAAGCTGTGGCAGCCCTGCAACGCATAGTTACAGAAGCCACACAAATATTATTGAGCTTGCAGTAATTTAAATTGGAAGTATGCTGCTAGAAATCTAACCCTGGGTACTTCGCATGTCAGCAACTCAGAGATTTTTAATATACCAGTTGAATGAGTTATAAACATGAAGGCTTGAAACCATTACTGAAAACTTGCCCAGGAGGAAAGTGGAAAACAACAGCACAGAGCAAGAAATACGCAGCATAATGGGACAGAGAGAAAACAGCCAAACGCGGAATTGCGAAAGGTGAAATCCCCTCCTTGCACACCCGCTTCACTTGCAGCATCCAGCAGTTCCATTACAGCGAACGACTTGATCGAACAGGAACGGAATAAACAATGGCAGACAAACTGAATGTGTTACTCAGGAATTTTTGAGTATCAGCAGGAGAAAAGGGAGATGACAGAGCACTTGGAAGAAAATGAAGGAGCAAAACCTCGACGAAAGATGTCAGGGAGGTAAGAGAGCAAATGGGACTTTACAGGTCCTTCCCTGTGGCATGCAAAGGGCCTGTTCAATGAGCCCTACAGACCATCCCCCCCAGTGGTATTTCGCCTGTAGTCATTTGCCCAACTTATCTGTAATCCCTCACACCGCCCTCCCTAATGAGTCATATTTCTTCTGTAATAGAGGAATAAGCCAGAAGAATTTAAGCCTGGAATAACAACATTGTACTTTGCATGTTTACAGTGCTTCTCCTATTTAAAGCACTTCTCTCGTATTACCCAACTGCTCTTCCTAACAATCTCACCTGCATCTGCTTCCCCGATTCCTTCATTTCACAAAGGTGCAAATAAAGACAAAGACACCGGCAGCTCGCCCAAGGCTACAGATGAATAAATGAAAGAACCTAACTACAATTTCCAGTTCTGTGCCTGCATTAAAGGACTGCAGACCTTTCCCCAGCTGGAAGCAGAATGTCTTACTTCCCTATTCTGACCTTCCCTGCCGCTGGTGTAACCCCGGAGCAAGGCTTTCTCCATGGCCACACAACACTTCCACTTCACAGCCGGGGAAGCCTCGCTGGCAGCCGTGCCATTCCCATTACCTCCGTCCTTAGGTAGCTCTACGTACACAACACAGCTCACACTTAGGACAGGTCTGGTCTTGCAAAGCTGAGGTTTCTCCAACAGGCCCACACCGGAGATTACTTCAAACCTTTTGCTCTGGCTCTGTATAATGACGAGCACCTCAGAAATACAGTTATGGTGCAGCTCTACGACATGCAAATATTTACAGTGGATATAAATCAGAGACTGCTATCTCCCCACCAGAAATAATTCCCCAAACACAAAAAGTAAAAAAACTAACAACTTGGCTTGTTGATCAGCTGCATTAGCCCACTTATAGCAGCAGCGGCATTAAGGAAAAACATGCTACGTGTTTATACGCACTCCGCTTGGGACTCATCGAGTCTAACCATTTTTGAGCTGGTAAGTCTAGATTCATTTGTTCTTTGATAATAAATCCACACATATATCCAACATTCAAAATAAACCAGAACAGCAGCTTTCTAGGACTTGATTCTCACACGGGGGCTTCTGAACCTTCGTACAATGTTCTCAAATCCCGTTAACCACTGTACGCAAACATGTGATAGGCTTGAACGTATATACCTCCGAATGACACCAGTTTGCTCCACGTGAGCCTACTGGAATAGCTGTATTAATTTCAGCAGTCAGTGTTCCATCACAGAGACTTGATTTTGTGATTTCTCCACAAATAAAATTCCTACTGATAGTAAAACCAGGAGTTTTGCATTTCAAGGGCTTGTGTAAATGGCTCTGAAAATGGGAGATCTAATACACCGTGCCTGGTTGTTTCATCTAAGAGCATACAAAAGGGTTCCGAGACAGAAGAACTGGAGTAAAGCTCTCCAGATCTCAATTAGTTTTCCACTGCAGGGACACAGCTTGACTGGCCAAAAAGCAAAGGCAGCAATTCACACTCTAGATTCATCTTGCTGGAATTATGGCTCTTTTACGCAAAAGTGCACAAAATGATGGCATCAACACCACCGTCTGATTCTTTGCAGCTCAAAGTGACTTACGGAATATCTGCAGTTTATGGAAATCTAGGAAATTTAGCTGAATGAGAAAGCTCTAGCCAACGCCATGTAAGAGAACTATCGACACGTGCATCAAACGCTAATGCCACAGAGTAACCTACCTCCTTAAAGTTATCGAATGCAGATAAAATGATTTCATGCCCTCCCCTGACAAGGCAAACAGCTGCTAGAAGTTCCAAGACAAGGGCCTTCGTCCTGCAAAGAAAAGAAACCGCAACAGTCAACGACCACCGGGGGATGAACCACCTTCTGCCTACCTGTTTGCAAAAGGGGTGCAGAGGCACGGGGAGACGTAGTTTGCATCCTGTGTATTTTTAATCTCTCGAAACTAGTAAACCTGCAAAATGCATAATGCTGAGCATCATCTGATCCAGGGCATTTTGTCTCTCCCAGGATCATGCAGTTTCCCCCCATTTTAACGCTTCTCAAAACATGCAAAAATTTAAATCACAAATTATACTTGTGGAAATCCAAGCAAACCAAAGGCAGTTGCGTAACTCCAGTAAAGGCAGACCGCATCAGCCTTCGACAGCCTGCACTCCCGGAGAGTTCACCTGCACGAGCCCGGAGACGAGGCAGTTGTACGCAAGCCAGGATCACCGCACATCAGCCATTAGTCAGCTGTCTTCACCGCAACACATCCTCTGAGCCCAGTTTTTAATGCGTGTGCATATAATTCAGATCTGTATTTTTCCTGATACAAATCTGAATTATTTTCTACGACAATTTGTATTATTCATAGCCACAAAAAAAAAACAAGACGTGGTTCACTGAAGTAAATATAGGATGCCTTAGCACATCTTTCCCCTCTTGAATCAGAAATCTGGGCAACTGATTGACAGCAGTGCTAACACAGGCATATTAATGAGAGAAGACAACAGATTACTGAAAGGAAAGCATGCGAGAGACTCAGTGTAACTCCAGGATAAATAATCCCCAGTACTTTCTTATAGGGTTCACATGAGGCAAAAGCACCAACCAGAATTTATGGTCAGATGAGCTCTGAGCAGATATTAAAATCATGCAGACACATATGAAATTAGTCTCATGCTAAAGCCATGACTCAAACCAGATGTTACAGAAAAAGAAATACCTTTTGGCTTTCAAAGTGTCAAGGTTATCTTTGGAAACCAGATAAAATGTTCACTTTCCTAGGAAATTTTAAACGTATCATTTTCAATTCTTACTCATCAATTTTTTTTTCCTGCCACAAGAAGAAAATCCAAGCTCTTTCAGACAGGATCAAGGGGTTCTTACTACAGATCTTCAGTATTTTCCCCTCCAAGGGCGGGCTGTGATCGGTGTGTGCGGGGAGGAGGCAGAGCAATCGCTGCCAGCCGAGAGCCCGGGGGATGCCCAGGTCTCCGATGCCGCCCGCAGCGCTCACCCGCCGGCTGCCCCCGGCCTGGCGTGGGGACGGGGAGAGGACAGGCTGTGTCCCTGCCACCCCTTTGGGCACAGCCAGAGGAGACAGAGTCCCTGCATCCATCCTCCACCTGGCCTGCCCGCTCCTGCGGCTCTTGGCTCCGCGGTGTGCGCGGTCTGGGGGTGGGCTCAGCCCTGCAGCATCTCTCAGAGCTGCCGCTTCCCTTTTTGCACATCTCGGACAACCCTAAGCACTCAAACCCCTGGTTTCTTCAAAAATCATGATGGGGCTAAACCAGAAAGAAATGAGGTTTTGAACAGCACTAACATTAAGTTTTGTCTTCAGATTATTTTAGCCACATTTGAAAGCTTTTTTTTTTATTATACAGAAATCTAAATAATGTACTTCTTTCAAACATGAGAACTTGGGCTCTCTCTTGATCACCTGATTTCCAGGCACAGGACACCAAAAATTATAAAACCAATAAACTTCCCATATCCTTCCCATGTATGCTGTGCCCAGGCTTGCTGACTAAGGGCTAAATAAAAGGAAGGAAGGAAGCACCTACAAAAAATCAGGACAAGATTTCAAGCAGTGTACTGTAAGGCAAGTGGACAGCCTAAGCAAAGGCCATATATACACATATATAGTGCTGTTTAGTTTTGTCTCATCCCCTAGTTTTACCTTTCCTTGCAAACATCAGTATGTCAGATTTGGTTTCGTTAGACATGCAAGAGGTTCGCAGCTCCAGGCGTTGCTGGAAGCGGCTGCCAGGGCCACAAGTGTGTGCGGGGAGCGGAGGGGACGCAGCCTCGCAGCCATCAGTTCCGCTGTGCAATTACAACATTGCTGCTGGGGCTGAACGGCAACCCGGTACAGAACAAGAATTAAACCCTCTCTCAAAGAAATTCAAACCTAAGGACCTCTCAGACAAAATCTAGTTAAGAAGACTTTCCTGTTCTTCAGGAAAATCCCATGCTAAGCTGCTAGTTATCAGCAGGGTCGTCTTTGCACTGCAATAGAGCTGGAGTGCTTAGGGAGCACATTTTCAGCTGAAGAGTCAGCAGCTCCTGAAACCAATGGAACTAGATGGCAATTGCTCATCTATTTGCACCATAATACAGATTTAATCTGATTCAGAATGAAGTATGAACTTTGCTACAGGTTTGCGCATGAACATACCCCTGAAAATCCCTTTCCATATACTCTTTACTTACCTACTTCTTAAAGTCTCTAAAAGCAAGTGCAGCCTACCTGGGATTCTTGTTGTTCAAACTTAGTGCAATTTCATTAACGGCATGTGGATGCGACATGACCATATTGAATCCATACTGAAAAGAGAAGGGGAAAATGCTGTTTCAGTTTTGAGACTGAAATTATTATTTTTAAAATCCAACAAATTAGGTATCTCTAACTAGATCTGGCGGCAGTCTTTCACAATGCTGTAAGCCAAACAAAACGTTGTCGAGTTTACCCAGTCAGCCAGCACATTTCCACCTACCACCCTACCTGACAGCTTCTCTGCCACTAGCAGTGTCGAAAGTACTCGGTTTGGCCATGTCAGCCAACAAAACGGGGTCCAAGAGCTGCTCCTACACCACTGCCAACCCCTCTGCTCATCCTTTCCCCTCCCTCTCTCTTTATTTCTGACTGTCAAGTGCATCATTTACTCTCTAAAGTGGAATTTGCAATTTAGCTGCCAAAATCACTTCTTTTCCAGCATGCACGCTGCCACAGAGCGACCGCATCGTGCAGTTACTGCACGAGTACTGCTGGCTTTGCTCTCCAAAAACGAAAAAAGAACTGCTTTGGAAAATACTGTATTGGTTATTAGTACAAGATTGTTGTTTGCATCCTTCCCATCAGAGGTACGAAACCCGGTAAATCCCGGGAGCTGATATCCCCAAGGGCAGAGTTCACATACGCAGCCGTGTTAGAGATACCTTGTATGACCATACAACTCATAATAAAGGTGTTCACCACAGCCTTTCTTTGAAGCACGTCACTTTTAGCTGTTACTGTTCTAGCAAAAAATCCCAAGTCTCTGAGCTACCTGGGCATGCCATTTGATCACAGCATCCCACTGAAGAGAAAAGAAACTCATGAAAATAAGATTAGCTTTGGTCTAGTTTATTCTTTGACTCGCAGTTATTGCAATTGCCTTGCGATAAACACGTAACGAGCGAAAGCTTGGATTTTCCATCAGTGTGTAGCTCTTCTGAAAAATTCTCATCTTTCCTAAGTGCTAGTACTGAGACAAATTATAACTTCAGCTGTGTAGCTGCATGTCTAATCAGTTAGTGCAAACCGAGCCCATCGCTGCAAACAGGACGGGCCCGATACGCACATGCTCTTATCGACGCGGGTCTTCGCATCTGTACTAAATCACCTGCATGGGTACGCAAGGACTGTGTTATATTGCTTCCCAGCTACACGGCCTAAGAACGAGTAAGAATTCAAACCTTTCCATCAGTTTGACCCTAACAATTCACCACTAACCTTTTCCTCCCTCCTCCCAGCAACAAAATAGTTATGTGGTCCAAAAGAACAAAAACGGGAAATACCTGGTAATTCATTATGGCCCGTAAACACATGATGCAGACATGAACATCATCTTTTTTACTCACTAATCTGGAATTTTTTAGTGTTCTTCGGCTTGGCAAGGTGTTATACCTGCAAACAAAAACAGCTCTCATCAATCACAAGACTATTTTTAGGCAGTAAGAATAAAGGAATGGAAATACTCCACTGGGTGAAAACGCAGACATCTTTTAGTTCTGCCGAGCAGCCGACCATCGGACAACACAAATAAATAAAGCAAAAAAAGCAGAAAAAAGGTGACAGGCTGTTCAGGCTGGCAGCGTAGGAAGCTCCAGGCGCTCGGCTCCACGACTGCCCGCCGGGCACCGCCGCCCGCCCCGGGGCCAGCGCAGCACAGCTCATCCCAAGGCAGGTACCTCCACCCTCGGGGCGCGCGTGGCCCACCACAGCCAGAGGCGTGCTGGGTTTTCTTCCATGCACTTTACTCTGCACGAGCAACGGCCCAGACTTTTAATGGAACTGCGCATTTGCAGGCATCAGCAAATGTATTAATTCCCGCTGCATTTCATTTAAGAATGGTGCCTCTCTTCTATTCTGCAGCTGAGCTTTCTGAAAGCCCTCCAAATTATTTGAGGAAAATACAGCCCTTAGGAACTTTGCTCAGAACAGAGGCATTAATTATTTTAATTGTAACCCCTAACTGGTAAATCAACCTTGAATTCAATTAAATAAGTACCCAGAATAAACACAAAGGGAAATCTTTAAATCTGTCATTTCTATGACATAGTAAATGAAAACCACATTTCAGCTCTTCCCGAGATACTGCTTATTTTCTTTCAGAAAAAACATCCTTCATGAGCTGAGCACAGGCAACTGGAGACAAGGAAGGGGCTGCCATATGAAATACGTATATGTTCTTACATACGCGAAACTGAATAAGCAATGAGAGGATTATGATTACGGTCAAGAAACTCTTTTGACAGTGATGCGCTAACTGCTGCGATCGGCCGCTGGTGGCCGCGGTGCCGCTGCGCTGCCCCGGCGAGCCCCGGGACCAGCACAGCACGGGGGACGGGACCTGTCCAAGCTGCGGGGGGTCTGCGGGCCCCCCGGCCGCGCCAGGGACACGGGGGTCCTCTGCAAAGCTGTGCGGGCTGCCCCGAGCAGCCCCAGCCGGCGGCACCGCGCGTGATGCCGACAGTGACGGTGAAGGGTGGCGTTTGGGGTTGGAAAAACATGGTATTTATCCCACCCCCCCAAATTACAGTGGAAAAACAGCCCAGAGGGAAGGTCCAAGCAGGTTCTCAATTAGTCACGGGGCTGCATCATCCAGAGATTTGCTCCTGATTTACACCTATGCAGGTGAGAGCAGAGACCAGAAGGGCATCGGCTTGCCAGCTTGGGGGCTAATGAAACCTCTAGGCAGGCACAGTAATCCTTTGGCACTTCCAACTATCACACTCGGGCCTGAAAATGGAGGAAGAAAGTCTAAAAATCTGCTGAAAGGAAGACAGAAAGAAAAACAACGTGATGCACGCGCAGTGATGTGCAAATTCTGACATTTGTTATGCAAAGAGCAACGCCACTGGGGGAAGAAAGAGAAATTCATAGATGGAGCTTGACTGGTGGAGTAAATACAACCTCCAGTAAAAGCAAGGCTTCTTCAGACAACTGCAGCTGGCCTCACACTTGGCAATGCCACCCTTGCAGCCGGGGGAACATACATGGGAAGGCTCTTCTCTTTGATTTGGGGAGTGGGGAAAGCTTCTGGATTGCAGCATCCTTAGCTCTCACTCCAGTCCCTAACCAGGAGTTAAACAAATCAGTGCTGGCACCCCGCAATGACTCAAAGCACAACTGCAAACAGGGGCCAGGGCAGGGTGAGGAGGCGAGCCGGAGAACGGGAGAGCTCCCAGGGGACAGGCAGACCCAGGCTCTTCCATCTGAGAACTATCCCAACACTCCAAGAAAGTATGAGAGCCATGGAGGGAGTCAACGGGTTACGATCTGTCATTATTTCTCCTAACATGGGAACTATGTGGCGTCACGTGTAATTATCAGGCGGCAGGATCAAAGCAAACCTGGTGATTTTCCAGGCGCTCCTCCACAGAGTGCTCCGGCGAGCGGGAGCTCTTCGGCATGACTGCTGCGGAGCCCAGAGCCTGGCACGGGCTCCAAAAGCACTTACACCACTTCACAGGGGAAAAAAATCCATCAAGGACTATTAAACAGGAGATGCAATCCTTAGATCAGGATGCTTAAATCTACAGACTGCTGGAAGCAGGAGCGTGTACCAGGGGAAACATCACTGGGTACCTGCCTTGCTCGCGCTAAGCAAGCGCCCTAAGCACCTCCTGCAGCAAGCGTGTGCTCGGGGGCCAGGGCAGAGAAGGTATCAGATACGGCTTTGGTGTCAGCGCACTTCACCATCTTCCTCCGACTTTCTCTGCATATTTTGAGTGCATTTGGGGGGTTGCCCTGTTTATTGCCAACGCTACTGTGCAAGTTACTTGTCTCATCCGTGCTACTCATTTTGTTCAAAAAAGAGGTGTAGCTTTTAAACCCGGTGAATAACACTATTAACGATGATGATGATCATCATCATAGTAATAGTAAAGATTAATAATAAATACATGAACAAATAATAACAGACTTGTTTTATTCTGACTCACTAGCTGACTCTCCAACACAAAGAACATCCTTGCAAATTTTCTCACTTTCAAGGTGCAAAACAAAACGAATGAGCTAGCTGGCACGCGGGTCTGGGCAAATTTTCTCACTTTAAAGGTACAAAACAAAACGAATGAGCCTGCTGGCACGAGGGTCTGGGCGCACCGTGCGCCGGGCAGCCAGCACGGCTCAGCGGCACCCTGGCTGCGTCTGCCTGGGCGGCCGCAGGAGCCTTCCCCGCTCCGCAGCTCCAGCGCGGGACGTGAGCAGAACACGCCGGAGCGCGGTGCAAAACCAGCCTGCCCACGGAGAGCCCGCGACTCTCGGGCTTCAGCAATTACTTCCCTTTGCTTTCATTTTCCAGGAGCGCCAAGATGAAAGAAACCCCAAAATTCAAAGCAGAATTCTGCTTTTTTTTTTTTTTCCCCATATATATGAATGCATAAATCAGCTCAGGGCACTCCAGGCGGATTTCAGGTTTGCAGGAAACATGACCTAGTTTTGCCTGAGCCAGAGCGACTGGTTAAAGCACGGGAGCTGGGTTTCGGGGAGCAGAGCCTGAGATGGGGCGCAGGCCGTGCCTCGCAGGACCGGGACAGGATGAGGCTGCGGGGCTGTCCCAGCTGGCCCCCGAGGCACCACGAGCACTTGGGATGGGGTGCTGCACCGCACCTCGCACCTGGGATCCGGGATGCTTTGTCCGGCTGCTCCCGGTGGGAATGGGGCTGGCCAGGGAGCTCCAGCCGAGGCTGTCCTGCCTGCATCCCTGCGGACAGACCCACTGCCCACACACAGACCCTGCACTCAGGGACTCACTCGTCTTCCAAACCTCCCTTCCTGGGACAAAAGAAGAGCAGTGCAACCTTTACCTGGGAGCCCTACACTGAGTCTGAACTGGGAAGTGTGGAAGTGCTGCCGGTGTTGGCTGGAGAATGTGTAACCACACCGCAGTAGCGTATTTCCATACATTCATTTTACCAAATATGAAAAACACTGCAATAAAAAGATTTGAAAGTCATTTCTCATCATACAGAGATTGTTCCTACAATGGCTTATCTCAGCTTTAAACTACTAAAGGCTGCATACATTATTTTCTTTTAAATTTTAAATAAGCAGGGTAATTAGATCTTTATCATGCCACTGATAGAAGAAAAAAAATCTTCCTCAGTGCCTGGTGTATCAACTCCTTAAATTTCAGAATGCCTTTAAACACCTCACAGAGCTTTGTCAGCTGTAACAAATGGGAGCAAGTCTCCTTAAACTAACGAAAGATGACCACAAAGCCAGAATTTGGCATTTCCAGCCGCTTGGGGAGCGAGGAGAAACAGAATCGGGGAGCAAAGAGACTCTGCAGCGCAGCAGGAGCCTGGAGCACGCTGGGTCCCATCTCCCTGGGAACTCAGCCTGGCATCCAGCCAGCTGGACGGAGGCTTCCCGGGCGGAGAGATGCTCTCCTACACCCCTCACCACCCACGTGGCTGCCCGGGCACCTCATCAAACCCCTGCTCTGCAGAGCAATGCAGGCACCAGAAGGAAGGTTTGAGGTGAAGACAATATTCGCCTCTTCTGAAGAGGTGCAAAAGACCCACAGAAACCCAGCAAGGACTGCAGACATCCCGTACTACCTGCCCGCAGCCAGGAAAACTGCTGTTTTGAAGCCTGGAGATGCTCACTTGGAGGATTCTCATGACCAGAGGCAGCTGGTGTGTCCTCTGCCCAACGCCCAAGGTGACCCTCACCTCTGGGTACCCTGCCCCAGGGCAGGCACACAGCTCAGCCCCAGGCTCCACACCTTGCCCCGCGCTCTCCGCCGCGGTCCTCGGCCTTCCCCGCCATCCCGCCCACCCCGTGCCGGCGGTGTGTTATTCAGGGATCTCATCAGCGATACTCAGAGCCCGCACCCTCCGGCTCGCAGAGCTTCCACCCGTGCTAGTTTACGATTAGGCTGAGAAACGGGCACAGAATATGCAATCGAGAGCTGCACTGCAGAGAAAATATCTCCAGCACAGATGGGATTCTGCCCTAGATTTAGATCGCTTCCCTTCAACAGATGCAAATTTCTTCACACAGACATGAATGCCAAGAATTAATGAGGATTTTTTGTACAGAAACTCTTTTACGACAACTCTGCACACTGGAACTAAGGCTCAAGATGCTTTCTCTGTATTTGTGGCAATTGCAACGACCCCGATTTGTTTCCCTCCTAAAGGCAGGGCAGACCGGCGGTAGCTCTAACACCTCCCTTTACGCGACATGAGCCAAGCCAGGGTGGATGATCTTCTTTTGCTTTTATTTCATTTCTTGTTACTAAACATTAGGCTGATCCGAGCATCTGGATGAATCATTGGTTTTGATTTCCTGTCTGCTGCAGGTCAAAGATGGTGTCACCAAGAGTATATTTATCCTGGTAATTAAATTCAGATGGTTCCTCTTTTATTTCCTCTGCCCCTCCTTTAAAGAAG